TTTTTTGTGTGTGTGTGGTGCTGGGGATTGAATCCAGGGCTTTGTGCATGCAAGGCAAGCATCTACCAACTGAGCTATATCCCCAGCCCGATAAAATTGATTCTGAATATTGAATAAATCTTGCAAACATGGACTAAATCCTTTGTCTTGGTATGCAATTATTTTTAAACATTGTTAGGTTTAATTTGCTAATATTTTGTTGAGAATTTTTTTTGCACGTTTGTGGAAGACATTGGTCTGCATCTGTTTTTGGTATTTGGTAATACTAGCCTCATAGAATGAGACAGGAAGCATTCCTTCTGCTTCTACTTTCTAGAAGAGATTGTAAAGAATTGGCATGATTTTTTTCCTTAAATGTTTTGTAAAGTTCATCAGTAAAACCATCTGGGCCTTGTGCTTTGTTTTGTAAGGCTATTAGTTATTAAATTTATTTTATAGATATAAGCCTATTAAGATTATCTATTTCTCCTTTTGAGTTTTGGTAGGTTGTGTTCCAAGGAATTACTCCATTTCATTTAGGTTATCAAGTTTATAGCCATCAAGTTTTTGATAATATTCTCTTTTCATCCTTTCCAAAGGATCAGTAGTTGTCTCTAGTTCATTTCTGATAGTTGTGATTTGAATCTTCCCTCTTTTCTTTTTCTATACCATCTGATTTTATTGTGAAAGAACAAGCTTTCATTTTTATTTACTTTCTTCTTTTTTTATTAAAATTTTTTTTGTAGTTGTAGATGGACACAATGCCGTTATTTTATTTTTTAATGTGGTACTGAGGATCGAACCCCAGTGCCTCATGCATACTAGGCAAGTGCTCTACCACTGAGCTACAGTCCCAGATCCTCCTCTATTGTTTTTAATTCATTTATTTCTGCCCTTTTACTAGTTATTTTTTCTACTTATTTTGGTTTTAATTTGCCATTCTTTATCTAGTTTCCTAAGGTGGACGCTTTCTGCTATAGTTCGGATCTGGAGTGTACCCCAAAGACTTGGCCATTAGCCTGTGGTGCTATTGGGAGACGGCAGAACCTTTAGGAGGTGGGGCCTGGCAGAAGAAAGTTAAAGTATTGGGATCTCAGTCCCTTCCTCTTTGCCTCCTGGCTGTCATGACACGAACAGGTCTCCTCCAGCACATGATATACTCCTCCCACCATGATATACTGTGCAGCCACAAGCCCAAAGAAACAGGGCCAAATGACCATGGAATAAAGTGAGCCAAAATAAACCTTTCTCACTTTTAAGTTGATTTTCTTGGTCTTTTGTCACAGACAAAATCTTTAATGTAAAACCATACAAACAAAATTTAGAACTTTGAATTTCTAATATGTACATTCTTTGTTATAAATTTCCCTATTACCACTGCTTTTGCTGTATCTCACAACTTTCATTTGGACTTTGTTCAAAATATCTTTAAATTTTCTTGACACTTTGTCTTTGACCCATTTGTTATTTGGAAGAATGCTGTTTAATCTTTAGACATTTTGGGATTTTCAGTTATCTTTCCCTTATTGATTTTTTAGTTTGATTGCATTGTGACCTGAATGTATGCTTTGGATGACCTCTATTCTTTTAGATTAGCTAAGGTGTGTTTTACAGCCTATAATGTGGTCAGTCCTGGTGAATGTTCCACGTAAGCCTGAGAAGACTGTGTGTTCTGCTGTTCTTAGATGAAGTATTCTGAATGTTAATTATATGTACAGTCCTTGGCACCATGAAATTGGGTGAGATAACTGACAGCAATTCTCCATCTGGTTCCAGACAAATGGAATAATATCCTCTGGGCTTTGACCCAGACATTGGTAATTTTGGAAACTATCTTGATAATTCTATTGTGCTCTTAGTGTTGAAAACCTCACAGAAAAGACACTAAGTGGGCTAAGGACTGAGCCCTGGGGCCCTTCAAAATTTAGAATTGTGTCTCCTGGTTGACCACTGGTATCACCTGGAAGCTGACAATGACTCTCTGCTTAGCCAAACTTTACTCAGACTTCTCCTAGGCCCATCTATTTTTTTTTTTTTTGGTAAAATTGTTTTAACAAAAGAACCCTACTAGGTCAGTTTACCAAGAATATCCTATCCTGAAAGTGATCAGGTCCCTCATTCTACACCATCCCCAGGAGATGTCTGATCACCCTGGTTTGTTTTTGGCAAGAATCCTGTCAAGTCAGTCTAGTCAGAATGTCCCTTGCCCCTGACACTTCCTCTTAGCGAATTTTCATCTACTGAACCTGACCATCCTACTTGGCTATAAATCTCCACTTGTTTGTGCTGTATTTGGAGTTGAACACCATTTCTCTCCCCTATCATGATGGTCCTTAATAGCCTTCCTTACTATGCTTTGGCAAGTATCATTAATTTTTACAAATACAGTCTTAAAAAATATCAATGTCGGTGCCCATCAAATTCCAATTTAATTGGTCTAGTGTGTTCTCTGAGCTTTCATATATTTTTTAAAAGCCCTCCAGGTAGTTTCAATGGGCAGCAAAGTTTGAAACCACAGATTAAAGGCTTCAGTAAATGCAGAACAAATCCAAGTGTGGTGGCACAGGCCTGTAATGCTAGCCACTTGGAAGACTGAGGGAGGAGAATTACAAGTTCAAGGCCAACTTCAGCCACTAGAAATACCCTGCCTCTCAAGATAAAAAATAAAAGGGCTAGGGATGTAGCTTAATGGTAGAGCACCCCTGAGTTTGATCCCTAGTCAAGAAAAAACAAAAACAAAAAACAAAGCCAGGGGAGAATAGGGTCCTGTGAAACTAGTGGGGGAAGTTTCAGAAAGGGTATGATTAAGAATGTCAAATGCCAGTCTAAAATAAACTGATATTTGGATGTTGTACTTGGGGAAATCGGATATCTTTGGTGACCCTGACAAAAGCAGTTCAGGGAATGGTGGGTTGGAGGGAAAACTGATGTGAACTCAAGAGAGAATGGAAAAAGTGGAGACCCACCCTGTCAACTAAGGTTAGTGAAAATTTTATTAGCTTTGTAACTTTTTATATTTATCCAACCATTTAGGTTTCTAATTTTTTAGAGTTATATGTCATGATTTTTCTTAGATGACATAGATGATAAATGGCTGAGAAAAGGAATAATGGTTTTTAACATTATCATAGTGTGGGTGGATTCAGCTGTCAGCTATATTTTGCCAAAACCACCCCCTCAAGACATCTTGTCTTCTTCAATTTGTAATTCTTAGGCTACTTGTAAGCCTGAACATTTTTTTCATGTCTTGTAGCTATGTTTTCCTCTTGGAAAACCCACCTGTAACTGCTAGAATCTAGTGCTCATCAGTTTGTAGCTACCTATGCACTGTTAGATCTCCTGGTCTGTCCTCCCACCTCTGCCTTACAGGACACTCCAGCACAGCATCTTTGGGAATGGATGTTTTCCATTTGTAGTTGTGTTTGGAATTGGATCTTTGTTTCTTCACACTCTCTAGTGCTTGTGCTTGCAGCTATATTGGGAAACTTGTCATGGCTGTGTTCATCTTTTTTACTCAAGTGTTAATGAGCTCCTTACTGAGCTAATTTGCTTGATTTCCAGGGACCCAGGCCAACACTGGAAGGTGTCAGGCCAGGTACCCTTGGAGGAGCCCCAGGTTCAGCAGGCCTGCCCCATCAGCACCAGGCAACAATGGCCCAGGCAGAACCAGCCTGGAGACCCCATCCTAGTGTGTGGGGATTTCCAAAGAATCACTAGAATGTGTGGGTAGCCAGTTTTGTCCCTTCTTTTAAAGATCACTGTTGACTTGATATAGGAAGTATATAAAGGGCAATTTTTCTGTTTTTAAGTGTTTAGGATTTTTGTTTTGTTTTGAAATTATGATTTCCTATGATGAACTGAATCATAAAGTGTCCTTTTTTTTCAGAATACTTTGTACCAACAAACCTTAGAATCATGTTAAAAAAATAAAAACAGAAACAAAAAAATACCAATAGGCAGAAAGGAACAAACTATTATTTGTAGATGGTAAATGTTTACCACAAACAGAACTAGACAACTTTTCCTGAGAAACTATTGAAAAAAACCATTCAGTGAGGTGGCACACAAATATTTTTTAAAAACTTTCCTATATAAGAGAATTAACCAATTTGAAAAATGAAAAATAACAAAACTGGATAGAATTTAAGTGAAAAAAATAGAAAAATTTGCACAGGAATACTGTAACTAAGTAAGAAGGCATGTTTCTGGGTATAAAACAAAAATCTGTGAAAATTAATAAATCTTCCCAAATGGCTTATAGGCTGAACCCATTCCAGACAGAATAACCAAGTAAAACTTTGGGAAAAAAAAAACCAAAACCGACCAAGAATCCCTAATCAAAATGCAGGACGAGTCCCATTGAGGCACCACTGTTCTTGACTCCAGGCAGATCGCACAGGAGGGCCTGGCTATCAGGAGGAAGGACGATGACCATCCACTACAAGAAGACCCATAGAATCCCATTTCTTGAGGGACAATGGAGCTAACCACTAAAGGCATAGTCTCTAAACACTTTGCCTTGTGAAGTAGTGACCATTCAAAGGTCTGTTGACTGTGTAAAGGGGAATTAAGCCTAAGGGAGGTTATGCCTAGCTGTGGATCCAAGCCAACTTTTTCCTGTCTGTAGGTCTGTTACTTTTCTTTAGCTTCCAGGTTTTCCTTCCTAGCAGTTAAGACCTTGGATCACAAAGGGAAAAGATCCTGAAGAGCTTTCCCAGACAGCAGTGGTGCTGGTTGGTCAGACCTGAGTGATCTGAACCTCTTTTGGCAAGGGAGAGGCATGAGACAGCTGTCTGAGATTAACAGCTGTAAAGAATCAAGAATAGTAGAGAGACCTTCAAATTATGGTGTGAAAAGGATTTCTATAAAACAGCCCATTTTAGCCCCAAATTGCAAATGTTTTTGAAATTAATAATTATTTTAGATCACAATTACAAATAAGGGTAAGTCTTTTGACATTCAAATGCTTTAGTTTTCCTATATCAAAGAGTAAACAATTCAACACTCAAGCCATATCAGGATGTTATGCAAGCGTTATAGGAACTGTTATTAGAAGCTGTTGACTTAACAAACCAGTAGTTTGGTTCTTTCTGGGACATCAATTCCAGATAGACTTTTGTGTTCTCTTTTCTCAAGTGTGAATTCCCATGCAAGGGAAAAGAGATCTATTTCAATAGATGTGACTGTCCAGCTCACCTTGCATGTAAGCAGCCCCAGACTCTTTCACATTTAAATTCTTGGGAAAGGGATCTGTGACCTACATATTGTTGTACAACTTCACAAAGAAAGCTCCTTAGTCCAGGAAGTCTGAATGCTAACTGAGGTATAGCCCTTGAAGATATTTCCCTCTCTGTGAATTTTCTAACAACTGAGGTTTAGCCAACATGGGTATTTATCCAAATTTGGCTATAATGAGGTTTTCACATATCTGTGTGTTTTTAGGCAGCCTTGTGAAACTTCTCAGGCTGAGGAAGGATGATTCCCAATCTCATTTCTGCTTTCGGATCTTACATGCAGAGTGGGTCCTCTCATGCCGGGTACAGTTTGACAGCCGACCAAATCTTCTCCCACATTTTTTGCAACCGTATGGCCTCTCAGTCTCATGACTCTGCAGGTGAAGCACAAATTCTTCGTTTTTTGGGAAGGTTTTCCCACATTCTGGACACTTAAATACCTTCTCCCTTACATGGATTCCTTCATGGCGACTCCGATGAGAATTCTGGCGAAAGTTTTTCCCACACTGAGAACAGGAATAAGGCTTCTCTCCTGTGTGGATTCGCTCATGTTTATTGAGGTTTGTTTTATGATTGAAGCTTTTCCCACAGTGGCTACAGTCATAGGGTTTCTCTCCAGTGTGAGTCCTCTGGTGGGAAATAAGGTAAGAGCTTTCATTAAACTGCTTCCCACACAGTGGACAAGTGTACCATCTCCTTGTTCTCCGACTTCGAGTAAGTGCAATAACATTGATGTCCACAAATTTCGAGAGCTCCTCTAGTGGAGTGTCATTTTCAATGGTAACTAAAAGATTTCTCATTTTCCTTTGCTGTGGAATGGATGTATTTAGTCTTTCTTCTTGGCTACCTGGAGGTTGCTCAGAGACCAAGGAACAATCCACTCCATCGCCATCCAAAGACTTTTCTCGGCAATTTCCCTTCTGAAGATCTTCACTTGTAGGAATGTCATTGGCTGTGGAAACAAAAACTGTAATAAATTTGAGGGACAGAACAATACCAGGCAGGAAAAGACAAGCTGGGTATCTTATGAAACAATAACCTTGAAAGTCAGATATTTGAAGTCTGGCAGATAACCATCATTAACCCTCTTTTTCTACTCTTATTGAGCACATGATAGATGACTGTCAGTCTGTCTCCCACAGTCCTCTTTTCACTTTTCTTAAAAAGTGAGTGGGAATGCACTAAAAGATTTCACATTCACATATTTGTTTCTCAACTGGCACAAAGTTCATACTGACCTTATATTCTGTGTAGGAGCACTCAGCTAAGGACACGGGGGGGGGGGGGGGGGGGGGGGGTAAAGGATATGCATAATAAAGGGCACGGTTCATAATCTTTGGAGTCTAATGATAGAATGAAGTGCTTCAGGTTTTTACTGTGCTAAACAGTGCAATATTATACCAATTTTACAATATCATATACAAGAAAAAAACTGGAGGGCTAGGGATATAGCTTAGTTAATAGAGCACTTGCTTCACATGCCCAAAGCCCTGGGTTCAATCCCCAGCACCACCACCAAAAAACAGGAAAGAAAGAAAAAACTGGAAACAATTCAAAATGGCCAAAATTAAAGAAGGCACTGCATATTCACACAAGTGATTGGTATTTGGCTATTAAAGAATTTACTACAACCAATAAAATGCAACTATGGCATTAGAAATCAGCAGTTTTTCTTTGGGAAGGAAGGGGAAGAATGACTGGGAGGAGACAAGAGAAATTTCTGGGGTGCTAAGAACAATAATTGTGGGTGTTAGATAACTGTGTACATTTTGTGAAAACCTGAGCTGTATACTTATGATATATAGCCTTCTCTTTTTTTATATTATAGCTCAAAATAATGTCTGTATAAAATAATAGATTATAAAAAGTAGGTAGCAAAGTGGGAAAAGTCTATTGTGAATAGGTGGGGTGACAAGTAAGCTCTAAATTCTGGAGAACAGATGGAGGATAAAGTAAAAGGTTGAAACCAACCCCTTCATGTGACTGATCCACAAGATGGGATGTAAATCTCTGCTACATTATAGCAGTTTCACTTCAATAGATTTTTTCTTTTTAATTATTTTTAAATTACTATCTTAGAATAATGAAAATGCTGGGTTAAAGCATATGCCAATTTTTAAAAAAAATTAAAAATACTTTTATTTTATTTATTTTTATGTGGTGCTGAGGATCGAACCCAATGCCTTACGTACAGTGAGTGCTCTACCGATGAGCCACAACCCCAGTCCTGCATATGCCAATTTTTAACACTGTTTTTTCTCCTTCTTTCCTTCCTTCCTCCCTTACTTCCCTCCCTCTCTCCCCCACTCTTTCTTTCTTTCTTTTCCACCTCCAAGCCACATCCCCAGCCCCCCTCCCAAAAAACTCCCTATGACCACCCGCACTCCCTGCTTCTGGCCTGCGCTGCCGGCTCCACCTGCTCCACGCTTTGGCTCCAGCTCTTTTTTAAAAAAAAATTTGAGACAGGGTCTTGCTAAGTTTTTGAGATTGGCCTTAAATTTGTGATCCTCCTGCCTCAGCATCCAAAGTCACTGGGATTATAGGCATGCACCCACAGGATCTAGCTCATCACTGCTCTTGAGATGAATTACCATACTACTTTCCAGCACTGTATCAATGTCAATATAACCATTACTGTGTGAGTTATCAGTTTTACTTCATCTTGCCAATATGAAATTTAAAAATGTTTAACAGGTATAAAGCAATGCATCACTGTAATTTTAATTATGCAAAATAATTTATTATTAATTTCATAAATATATAAATTTTATATATTATAGAACTTAATCATTAATTAATTATTATAGAACTTAATCATCATTAATTTGTCAATCATCATTAATTAATATTTTAAAAAATTGAACTATTCCTCTATAACTCCACATTAAAACCAGAAAAAAAAAAATACATCAGTCTTTCAAGATTTCACAAAGTTTTGTTTGCTGGCTATTCTTCTATGACTTTTTTTTTTCTGCCTCAGTTGCAAACACTGTCTCCAATATATTGTATTTTATTTATATATTTTTCTTATTCTGCCATGCACAAGTTTTAATTTTTATGTATTTTATTATTTTTCTTTCAAAGCTGCTAGACTTCTGAACCTTAATTACAAAAGCCTTACTATCCCAAGGTTACAAAAGAATTCATCCATATTTTCTAACTGTGGTTTTGTTTTTTGTGTTAGTTTGCTTGAAAGACCTTTGATCCCTTTGGAGTTCTTGGTAATGTTAAGTAAGGTAATGATTCACTAGTGGCTTCTCACCTGTCGCAACACCTTTTGCCCAAAAGTCCCTCTTTGCTGGGGGCAGTGGTGCATGCTTATGATCTCAGCTACTTGGGAGGCTGAGGAAAGGGGGTTGCAAGTTCAAGGGTAGCCTACAATTTAGCGAGACCCTGTCTCAAAATAATAAAAAAGGGCTTGGGATATAGCTTAGAGGTAAAGTGAAGCTGGGTTCAATCCCAGATACTACCAAACAAACAAACAAACAAACTCATAAATAAAAAAATTATAAAATAAAATTCTGTGTTTACTTTGCTGACATGAGATCTGACTTTATATGTATTTGCAGTCATTTCTGGACTTTGTATTCCATCCCATTGGAATCCATCTACTCATGTGCCAATATCACACTGTTTGAATTAGGGAGACTTTGTGGGCTGTTTTAATATCTGACAGAGTGATATGGTTTGGGTCTTAACTATCCTTCAAAGGCCCATATGCTAAAGATTTGGTTTCCAGCCTGTGGTGATATGGGAAGTGGCAGAACCTTTGGGAGGGGGGCTAGTGGAAGTACCTTAGATGATTGGGAGTGTCCCCTTGAAGGGAATATTGACACCCCATCCTCTTCCTCTCTGCTTCCTGCTGCCCGGAGGTGAGCAGCTGTGCTCCAGCTTCTACTCCCTGTCCAATGTGCTGCCTTGCCACAGGGCCAAGAACAGTGAGAAGAGCTAACCATGGACTGAAACTTCTGAAACCACAAGCCAAAATGAACCTATTTTTTCTTCTACTTTTGTGTCCTTTCCAAGTTTCCTCATATATTTTGCAAATAACTTTATTCCTAGGTAGTTAATGTTACTATTTTAGTAGAGTCTCCCACCACACCTTTCAAATGATTTTTTTCTTTTGCATTACAAAATCTGATGATTTTTGTTCATTTATTTCACATTCCTTTGCTTACTGAATGCTCTTATTATTTGTAGTAAGTTTTTAGACATTCATTGGAGGTTTCCAGTTACATAATTATACCATATAAATAGAGGTAGTTTTTAAAAATTAATTAATTAATTAATTATGGTACTGGGGATTGAACCTAGCTTTTTTTTTTTTGGAGACAGTTGCTTAGGATCTTGCTAAATTGCTGAAACTGACCTCAAACTGCAATCCTCCCACCTCAGCTTCCTGAGTTGCTGAGATTACAAATATTCTCCACAATACTCAGCTGTTTCTTCAATTCTTAATAGTTTATTAAGTTACTTTTGCATTCCCAGACTAAATATTACTTGGTTATAGCAATTTTTTAAATCAAGTTTTGGTATTTTTGTTCTACTAATTTTATAGAATTTGTAAATCTTCCTTCTTTTTCTGTACTCTGGGAGTTTTAGTGAAACTGAACTGCCTGAAATCTTCTGTGAAACTGTTGGAAGTTGGTGTTCTTTCTTGAGTCGGGGGCTAATTTTTTGATAATTCTAATTTCCTCTGAAAATTTTACATTTTTCTTTTTAAGAGAGAGTGAGAGTGAGAGAGAGAGAGAATTTTTTAATATTTATTTTTCAGTTTTCGGCGGACACAACATCTTTTGTTTTTGTATGTGGTGCTGAGGATCGAACCCGGGCCGCACGCATGCCAGACAAGCGCGCTACCGCTTGAGCCACATCCCCAGCCCCTTACATTTTTCTACTTACTCTATTTTCCCAGGCTTTTCCCTCATTTTAACTCATTAATTTCTAATCTTATATTCTTTTTAAATCTACCCTACTGTTGTTATAACTTTGAATCAGAGGCTCATCTACTGTCTTTTTTCTAAATTAATACACATTTAGTGGCCATGATTTTTCTTTTGAACATCATTTTAGGTTACATCATAGATTCTGATAGTGTCTTTTAGAAAAATTATGCAATTCTTATTTGTATTTCTCTCTTTAACCCAAGTTTGCTTAACAGTTTTAAAATTTCTGGCAGAAGAAACTTTTATTTTCAGATTTCATTATTAATTTCTAGTTGTAAGTTATACTAAATTGTAATGGATTCTAATGTACTATTTCTACTTTTTGGAACATACTCAGTCTTCTTTTGTTCCATAGTATTTAGCCAACGTGTCAATATGGAAAAGGTGTATTATTCTCTTACCATAGTGGAGAGGACCCATAAGAACTAAGGACTCTTACTGAGATCTGTTTAAATGTCCTACCTTTTTCACCTATTTTTATGCGGTTCATTTGGGGTTAGTGGTTTTTGTTTTTTTGGTGGTGCTGGGGAATGAACTCAGGGCTTTGTGCATGCTAGGCAATCACTCTACTAACTGAGCTATTTCCCCAACCCGCTTTATGCAGTTCATTTGGACTGATACACATATTCTCTGATTCCCTATGTTAAAGACTCTCCTTTGGCTCCTGTCTCCATGAGATTCAACCATTATACTTTTCCCTTTGCAAATGATTAAATATGACTCAACCATCACTTACATGCTGATTGATTTCCAATTCTCTATATCCTTCTGTCTTCCAGTTTCCAATTTACAAAGATACAGAAGACAATAATTTTATTTCTTGCCATAGATTTAATCTCATCTAAAATCAAATCCATCTTCCAAATTCCGTCACCAGATCTAAATCCTACCTTAACCTTTTGACAGCTCTTCATATCTATACAAATTCCACACTGCTTATCTTTTAAAGTAATCAACTTGTCTGACAAACCACATTGGAGGAGGGTGGTAGAAGGCAGGAATGGAGCATTACATATCTTTGTAACATGCTGAATTTCAACTCCAACCCTGCCTAAGGAAAAAGCACGTAGCATTTATGAAATGTTGGTGAATGACTCTAAGTTTAAACCTTCAAGGTATGGGCAGAGAAAGGGAGGTGGGAAAGATGAAGATTAGGTTTTAGGGCTCCAAAGTACATGGCTAAAGGATTGTCAACATACCTGATAATCAGTCATACAAAATAATATTAGCTTTGCCCAAGACCCAGGAAAAACCCAGAGTAATAAATCTAATATTTTTATACTTATCTCTACAATAAAGAATATATTTGAGAAAGCATCCAGTGGGAGGCCATTATACATCACTGGCCCTGAGCAGACAGTTCAATGCAGCTGAGGGTTCTACAGTAATAATTGATTTGTGTGACTCCAGGCAACTCCCCCATCTTACTCTCTGCTCAACTTCAGCCTCAGATGAGGGAAAAGTTAAAAGTATTAGGCACTCAGGAAAACAGAAGGCATCTGCTTCTAGGGTGGCAACATATTTCTAGAGGAAAGTTGAAGCATGTCTAAGCAGGTTACAGCAAGGCTGCTTCCAAATCAGTTCACATGTAGCACTGGGGATATTTGGAAAATAAGGACAAATAAAGGCAGTCCCATTAACAGACCTTACAGGAAACTGATAAAATTATGAGAATGTGGCCAAGAGGCCACACAGCTCTGGGTCATGACTACAAACTCTGATACTAGATTCCCCTAGTCCACATCCCTGCTTCAGCTGTGGGTGGTGGCAAATGCCTGTAATCCCGACCACATGGGAGGCTGAGGAAGGAGGATTGCAAGTTCAAGGCCAGCCTCAGTAACTTAGTGAGGACCAAAGCAACTTAGTGAGAATGTCTCAAAATAAAAAATTTAAAAAGGGTGGGAGATATAGCTCTATGAGCCTCTGGAAAGTTTCTTAACCTCTTCTTTACTCCAGTTTGTCATCTATATAGTAATAACAATTCCCATAGTAATAAAGTGAGAAGTACATAAAACAATAAATGCATGCAAAGTATATGGATCAATGCCTAGCATATAAGTGTTCAGTACAGTGTTAGGTATTATTTTTATTGAAAGTGAGCTATACTTTCACTTACACTAGTGGACTTCACACCTACTAAACATAAAAAAAAAAGAAAGAGAAGAGAGGGACGTAAAATAGTGATGTGTCCAATGAAAACACTAATTCAAAATATACTTGGGAGAACAAACTCCAGAAAAAGGGTTCAAAAACAGTCTGCCCACATTTTCCATTGGTTTGCAGATCTTGCTTACTAAAAGAAGTCCTTTCTTCCCTCAGTGCCTTCAAGTACAGGGAAAATGGCCACCCACAGCTGGAATTTTGTGGCTAGGATCTGCCACAAGGAATAAAACAAAAGTAAAACACAAATGTGCTTGTGCTTTAGCAAGTGTGAATAGTACCTCAAAGGTTCCAGAAATGAAGGACACACTTTTGCTATAGCACACAATCTGAATACGCAAAATACTTGATTTCTTACTTAGTAACATCATCTCTCCAACACTGTCCTTCTCTGATGTGGGCTGTTGAGCAGGATCCATGCTCACACATTCCTCTTGGGAGTGAAATACATTCAAATCCTCAAAGACCACCAGCTCCTGAAAGAACAAGAAGCCCCCTTCTTCTTAGTAACTGAGGCTCCTTAGCAGCCCTGTGGCAAGGAAGACTTAGGTACAAAGATCAAAGAAAAGGATGGCGAAAGAGATCTATAAACTCCACACAGAGCAGTAGAGATAGGACAGCCAGGCTAAGAGGAGCCAGAAGAAAGCAGAAAAGAAACATCCAAGAAAACTGGCTCCCAAGAAGGTTATGCATGGGTCGGCTAAGAAGGGAAGGCTGCAATAGCAGAGAATGTGATGCACTCAGACAGTGAGTGGTAGAACTAAACCCACCTCAGAGTCAGCTTTAAAACACAGAGACACTGTCTCCTGTTTCTGCTGGACTCCTTCTCTGGGCAGAAGCTTCACTAAGGGACGAGGTTGCACTGGGAAAAGAGGAAGCTATAGTTAGTGAAAAACTCAGTGACTCTAATACAGACATGTGGCCTACACATTCAAGCCAAGCTGTCCTTGTTCCTTTGGCAGGCAATCCACAGCCTTCTCTTCTCCAGTGAGCCCTGAAAAAGTTAAGCCATAAACCCCAGGTCTTGAACCTTTGGTGTCTTCTCATTATGAAAAGAATTCCCTTAAACACCTTTCAAAATCTCCAAGAGAGAGTCACTACAGAAGAGATTGGGGTTTTCAGCAAAGTGAAAAGATGCCCTAAGAAAGCACAAAATCTCTAAAATCACACATAAACTGAAGTCAAGTTGATAATTCATCTTATTTCCTTATTCTTAAAAAGATATTCCCCCCAGAATGTTTGGATGAAATTGACAATACAGAAAGATATACACACCTCATACTCTGTGGTTTTACACACACTTGTCATATCACTTAATCTCTAGCTTGAGAAGAAAGCAAGTACCCCAACATATTAAAATTAGCTCCCTTTTTAACACCCATCATCCTCTTCTTAATTCTGACTAACATAGAAGTCTGTCTCAGCCCCCAGTACCACCCACCGTCTCTTCTAGTGAAACAAGCACATACTCCTCACCTCTGTTCTGAAGGCTTGAACTCACATCCTTCATAATAACCAAGGTCTCCTTGACTTTCTCACTGGGCTGGACCAGGCTTGGCTTGGGCAAGAAGGTAAGGAAGTGCTCCAGCACCAGCTGGTGGATGGTCTTGGGCCCACTAGTGGCATCTTGAAGGAGGTCTTGGCCCAGCTTGGAGTCTGGAGGAACTCTCAGTATAAAGGACTGCTTTGGCTTTGGGGATATGGGAACCACTTTTGCAGTCATCATGCCTTGCAATAAAAGACCACACTCGTTTCTGGGGGATTCTAGAGCCACCTCTTACGGAAGAAAATCTGCCAGAGAGCAAAGCTGCAGACAGAGAAACCATGGATTACCCACAAGACAAAGCAGGGCATGATGATGCTCCAATATACAGGTTGGGTGGTGAGGACACACGAGATCTAAACCAGAAAGCAAAGACAGCGGGAAAGGGAAGTCGTATCTGAAACAGAAGGTCCCTGAATAGCATATTTTTAAAGACGGTCTGAAAGGAAGACTCCAAAATTAAAAATCAAAACTCAAGAACCAAAGAGAAGTGGGTAAAGGCGGCCGGCAGGCCAAGGGACATCTTCCCCAGAAATATGAAGTGCAAAATCCATTGGGAAGTAGTTTAACTTATGCTTGTACAGAGAGAAATGGGCTGGAAGACAGAAAAATCTGGAGTCCAACCCGAGGGCGAATGATTAGAAGCAGGTTGGTGGTTGGCCCCTCAGGCCGCAGCTCAGGTACCCTTTGGAGGTGGCTGATGTCTCCCAGGGAGCAAACGAAAGGCCACATGACTGCTCTGCCAAATCCCTGTTGAGAGTGACGAGGAACATCACCCCGGGGCCGACAGGGCCAGGCCCACTCTGGGGTCTCTCCCACCGGCCGAGGAACAGCTCGATGGCCAAGTTCGGCCGGCGGCACTGCCGGGGGCGCGCACCGGCTTCCTACACGCCTAGATCTTTGCAATGGATCGCACTTGGAGCTTCCGCCTGCCTCCCGCCCCTCGGAGCCCTCACCTCTCGGACCCTTTCGCCCCCAGGAGCTTGCTGAGGACGGCTGACAGACCAGGAAACCAGCAAGAGAAGAGGAGACGCCGGCAACTATTGGAACGCGCCGCCTTCAGTTGGGAAGACAGCCCAGTGCGGTGCCTTCTGGGAGGCCGGCTGCCTCCTGCTCTGTGACGCCACGTCCGGTGACTCGCTTCCGGCGGGGAAGCCTGGTCTCCCCGCTCGGAGCGCGCAGTCTGCGCCGGGTAAGGCGAGGCTCGAGGTCAGCCGCCAGAGCCCTCAGGGCGCGAGGCAGAGCCAGGCCGGCGAGCGCCGCTCTCTCCGCGGTTCCGCTCAGAAGACGGAAAGGAGGGGGCTAGCTCCGATCCACCATGACGGGGTACACCCCTCCCGTTTCAGCCAGCATGACTCCACGGCCTACTGGGAAACGTAGTTTTGCGCCACACAGCCAATGGGAGACCACGAAGAGGCGGTGTTTGGGGCGGGACAGGGCGGAGGTCCTACCGGAAGCTGGTTGACTTCTGCACCGGAAGGTGTGGGCGGGGGCGCCGCAGCTTCCGGGCAGGCCGGGAACTGCGGAGCCGGTCCGACTGTGGCGGGTGTGGGTTGGCCGTGTCTTGGTGCTGTGCGGCCCGTAGAGCAGAGCTGGACGTCCCTCCCCAAGCCCGGCTTGCCAACTTTTTTTTTTTAGAGAGATTTTTTTTATATATTTTTTTCAGTGGACACAACATCTTTATTTTATTTTTTTATTTTTTAATGTGCTGAGGATCGAACCCAGCGCCCCGCGCTCATGCGCGTTACCGCTTGAGCCACATCCCCAGCCCCTGGCTTGCCAACTTTTACCCTGCATTTGGACCTGCACCTTTTGAGAAATCCTAGCCCCACCTTCTCAAGCCGTTTCCGTTTCCTTTCTCAATTTCAGCCTCCCGTAGAGGTGGAATAGCAACTTTTCTTTCTGCATTTTTCCGTAATCATTTCATTCCCAGTGAGGCACCGGGCAGAGTCAGGACAACTTCCATGTCACATCAAGCCTTCATCAGGATGATGAAGATAAAAATAAAAACCAGTGCTTTTCTTAGCTAGCTATAGCTGACTCACTGTCGCCAAGGGCAAAAGTGTGACATCTGCAGTTGAGGAGAGCGAGAAAGAATCGCCACGTGCTTCTGCCCTTTTCAGTGTTTTATTTACTCAAAACTCAAATCACTCGATACAATTTTACTGTATAGTAATTATAATTTATATATAGCTTTGTTTTATTTATTTATTTTTACGTGTTGCTTAGGATTAAACCCAGGGCCTCATATGTACTACGGGAGTGCTTTACCGCCGAGCCACAACCCCAGCCCTGTATAGGTTCTTTTGTTTTGTTTTGTTTTTTTTGTATAGGTTCTTAATCAAGGAAATGGTTGTCTTTAATGCTGGGCACTTCAATATACATGATCAATTAAAAGCAAACAATTCTAGTGCTAACTCTAAGCACTGCAAACACTTAATCATGACAGACCTATTACAGACACTCCCTCTGCATGTTAAGATTTAAGTGCTAGATTTAAAGTCTTAGGCCTTAAGTCCAACAGATGCACACTCACTCAGATCGCAGTGATCAGGTCAGGAACAGATGGAGGCTTCTGGTGTGGAATTGACTGCTGGATGAGGAGACGGTGGTAAGGAGAAGTCGCCTTTCTCACCAGGGTCAAGAGGCTGCTGTAGAGTTTGAGTGCGGTGAGCAGGATGCAGAGGATCAGGCAAATGATGAGAAGAGTGGGGATGCCAGTCCAGGTCCTCTTCATGCTCTCTGGGATATGGGCATATGGGTATCAGCTGGCTTGAATGTTTGTTCATTTGTTCCATTATTTATACTAAATTTTGGGGCTTCTGCATGCCCTTTTGGTTCCTGTCAGCTGTTACCAGGTTTATTAGTGACATCTTACATCTTAGAGAGGACATATGGTCTGGTGGTTTCTGCCCTGATATTATCCTTCTGACTCTCATTAGGGTTAAGGCAAATGACATGTTTATATCGAGTGACTTCACTCTGACTCTTATCAGAGTTGTGGAAAGTGCTTGTTTTATCAGGCTATGCCTGATGACATATCAGAGGGCTCTATGACTTTCCCGGTGAGACTGCAGGTTTATTTTAAAATGGAGTTGCTTAGGCTAAGGCCATCCTTACACTCACTCATGGCTTAAAATGTTATGAAGAAAAGGATGAAAACCACGTGGCACTAAATAAATTGTGAAAAATAAATAACCTGCTTTTCAGACATCAAAATTTATCAAACAATAACAAAACCTTTGATCAAAACAGTATGGTTTAAACTATGAGTAAACCAATGGAATAGCAGGAAAGACTTGCATGTGCAAAAATTGAATACACACACACACACACATAGGGTAGGGTAGCATTTTAACTTATTGGGAGATAAATGATGCTAGCAAAACTTGTCTATCCTAAGAATAAAGAAAGATACCCCACCCCCATTGATATATTGCCAGAGATAAAAAAAAGCATTTCACTAAAGCTGGAGAGGCAGAGGTTAGTGTAGGAAAACAGGTTTATTCAAAGCTGGTATGTGAGGAAGATATAAAAACATTTTCTGTCTCAAATCTCTGTCTTCTGGGAGTGGGGGGAGTTCCTCAGTGTCTCAAGATTATCTTTATAAAGAGGGGAGGGGGTATAGTGGGACAAAAGGCATACACAGAGACATACCCACACATACATATATACATATATAACTGGGCTGTGCTAGTCAGAAATATGTCTCATTTTTAGTTTCCTCGGTATGCATTTGGAACAGGGGTTGGCTTCTCAAGTTTCTTTTTTTTTTAATTTTTTTTTTTTAGGTGTAGATGGACACAACAAAATGCCTTTATTTTTATGTGGTGCTGAGGATGGAACCCAGGTCTCGCCCATGCTAGGCGAGTGCTGTACAGCTGAGCCACAATCCCAGCCCCTAGCTTCTCAGTTTCAAAAGCAGTTATCAGGAAGATGGAAAGCAAAAACATTAAGGGTTTTTAATTTCAAAGGGGTTCTGTTATACTACATATAAAAAATGAAATTCTAGGGCTGGGGATGTTGCTCAAGTGGTAGTGCGCTCACCTAGCATGCATGAGGCACTGGGTTCGATTCTCAGCATCACATAAAAATAAAGATATTGTGTCCACCTAAAACTAAAAAATAAATACTTAAAAAAATGAAATTCTATAAAAGAACACTGATGAGAACAGTAGAGTTCAATGTGAGGCAAACCTAGAAACTAGAGTATAAGTAAAATGTAATCTTGTGCATATTTTTCTTTCCCCAGTGTATGGGAGTATCTTTATATGTGGGCTCTGAGGGAGATAGAAAAAGAGGCCCTCACTAGGTAGAGACCCCAAGTCTATGAGCATGACCAGCCATGCTTGTCTCTTGAGTTGGATGAACAAAACCTGAGCATATGCTTGTACCCAAATCAACTAGAAAAAAATTAAATGTCACCAAATTTAAAAACCTACACAATGTACCCATAACTGATTTATGGCTAAACTGTTTGACCAAGAATAAACATTATGAAACTCAAGTATCAAATGATTGACATGATATTTGATGGTCACAAAAGTTTGCCTGGGAACCTGCTCTTTTCTTCTCAGGAAAATTATGTATGTAGTTAGCGAGCTCAACCTTGGGTGCATCACTTATCCTCTCTGAGAGGTGAAGGGCATCTGCAACCTGCCTTTGTGAGGTGTGTACCTTTGCTGTCCTTTAATAAATATTAGCTTATGCCTACTTTTGATGAATTCTGAAATTCTTTTCAGTAATGTAGGTCAAGAACCTACCTGGACTGAGTTCCCACTGCCTACTTAGAGAGATCTCCTTGAACATTAGTCCATTTTCTTCTATATATAGTACAAATAGAAGTGGTACCTCCCCTTCCTCTGTTTCTTGTTCAACACCACACATCCCAAACTTTGCCTGTCTTTGCACTGAGATGCATAGGAAACAATGGCTGCTTTGTTTCTGGATTCTCAGTGTCCTAGTGCACTGAGAATATAGTATAGTACCTCTCTGGCCCATCCCTGTTACTGCACTTGTGTTTTAATATCTTTGTCTGATTGTGAGTATATTGTTAAACAGTTAAAAAAAAAAAAACTGCTAACAAAGCCAAACACCTTAATAGACTGCAAAATAATTGTAAAACAAAAGCCAAAGAGTTGGACTTTCCCAACAGGAAATGAGTCCCTGCCAACTGACAAAAGACAAAGGCAAATTCTATTCACAACCATTTAATTGAGGAGGAAAACTCAAGTTATTAACATTTGAAAAGATGTTTAACCACCAAATTGTCACCAGTCAAGAGTCTGAGCAAGTCTTGGAGCAGAGTAGAACTGAACTTCTCTTAATGGTCTTCATGGAAAGGAATTTCAGGACATGTCAGGTTTCAGTAACAGAGGAAGAGGTTATTGCAAAAGACACATTAGGGGGAGTGTGGGAATACTCAAGAGCCAAGTGGTGCCACATGTGGGTTGTGGTTTATGTTGTTTAAGGGAATTAATATAAATACAACCATTTAAAAGAAAGAAATTAAGCAGGGATTGAATATGGATCAGTTCTCTGGAATTGGGAGGTCCCTTAGTAGAACCCTGCTCAGCTTTGTTAGCATTTAAGGGGTGTGTGAATATACATGCTAATCCATCTTAATGAGCCCAAAATAAAAAAGGTCAGGAGAGGGGCTGGGGATGTGGCTCAAGCGGTAGCGCGCTCGCCTGGCATGCGTGCGGCCCGGGTTCGATCCTCAGCACCACATACAAACAAAGATGTTGTGTCCGCCGGAAACTAAAAAAAATAAATATTAAAAAATTCTTAAGGAAAAAAAAAAAAAAAGGTCAGGAGATTCTAGTGTGCCTGTGAGAGAAACCAGCTGGACCTGCCTCAAGAGTGTGGACACCTTGTGGTTAGGTGGACTGTTGGTTTGCCCAGTCAGACGATCAAAGAATACTTGTGATTGAATCAGAAGCATCCTCTGTGTGAGCCTAGCTCATAAGCTGTCTGCCTGAATTGTTTCTCCACACCTATTTTCCTCTATTTCCCTATCTCACTAGTAGTCAAGATTATCACTTTAAAAAAGGACTGCCATTTTCACCTGTCAAGCAATGAAGAAGATGAAAAAATAGACACTCTGTTGGTTGTGAGATGTGAGAAGTCATCTTGTAGTATATATTAAAACTAAAAGTACAGATATGTGCCCTATGACTCTGGCAATCTCATCTGTGAATCTAGTCTCAAGAAATTTCATGTAGAATTCTTGGTAGTGACAGAAACTAGAACAACATGCAAGTTCATCAGCAAGGATATAGTTGGATAAAGTGGAGTATTCATACCCCAGAAACTATAGCTATGAATAAGAATGGACCAGAACTTCATATAGACCTGGAGGAGTGGCCACGGGACATTAAATGAGGGACACACTTGAAATTCCAGTGACTCAGGAGGCTGAGTCAGGAAGATCACAAGTTCGAGGCCAGCCTGGGCAATTTAGTGAGACCTTGTCTTAAAACAAAAAATAAAAGGAATGGGGGTATAATTCAGTGGTAAAGTGCCTCTAGGTTCAGTACCCCAAATAAAAGAATATTAAATGAAAAACAGCAAGTTCAGAAATATGTATATAACACATATTTACATTTTTGGAACAAACAGAAAATACCCTGTGTATGTTTGTATGGCAGGATACACATTGGACTATTATTAATATGGTTACTAGTAAGTAGAAGGTAGAAATAGAGGGGAATAAACTTTTTAAAATTGTCTCATTTCATTTAATGACTATCAATTCAATAACTAAAAATAAAAAAATCTGAAAATGAAAAAAGATAAATAGAATGATAAATATTTTTAAATTCAATGGCATCCTGTTCTTAAAAACTGATCAGTAAAATAGATACCATCAATGGTTTTGAAATAACACCAGATCTTAACCTTTTAACATGAAAAGATGCTCATTGTCATATACAATTAAAGAAATTAAAGGTAAAATAATAAATGGAAAAATCTTTTTTTAAAAAATAAAATGAATTATTTAATTTTTTTGGTAATCTTGTATTTTATTATTTTAAGTCACATTTCCTCATAAAAAATAACATTCAGGCTGGATGTGTTGGTGTACATCTGTAATTCCAGCAATTCAAAAGCTGAGGCAGGAGGATTGGAAGTTTGAGACCAGCCTCAGCAATTTAGAGAGGACATCTTCAAAAAGGAAAAAAGAAAAGGGCCAAATAGCAACAATAATAATATTCAGTGTTCTGAAAGCAAACTAATACAATTATTTAAGAGGAAAATATGGCCCTTTCTATTCTTAAAAGTAGCATGTCCATAATTTTTGTCAAATATTCAATTCTCAACAATAATAATATTCAGTGTTCTGAAAGCAAACTAATACAATTATTTAAGAGGAAAATATGGCCCTTTCTTAAAAGTAGCATGTCCATAATTTTTGTCAAATATTCAATTCTCAGAATTTATTTTAAAGAAACCTATAGGGAGCTGGGGTTGTGGTTCAGCGGTAGAGCCCTCGCCTAGCACATGCGAGGCCCTGAGTTTGATCCTCAGCACCACATAAAAATAAATAAAATAAAGGTAGTGTGTCCAGCTACAACTAAAAAATAAATATTAAAAAAAGAAGCCTATAGAGATGATAAAACCTTGTTTAAAATGTCAAAATGTTGGTTAAATTATTATATGCTTAGTCTGTGGAATCAAATACAACCATTTAAAAGAAAGAAATTAAAAAAAAAAAAAAGGCCAACTGTGTAAAACATAATGTCATTTAAAAATAAAATGGGCTGAGGATATAGCTTAGTTGGTAGAGCGTTTGCCTCACACAAGGCCCTGGGTTCAATCCCCAGCACCAAAATAAAATTTAAAAATGCATTTTTTAAACTGAAAGAATATAGAGTAAGAATTAATAGTGGTCATTCCCAAATGGTAGGATTAGAGGGGATTTTTTTTCCCCCATTACTGGGAATTGAACCCAGAGGCTCACTACCACTGAGCTACATTCTCAGTCATTTTTATTTATTTATGTTTATTTTGAGACAGGGTCTCACTAAATTGCTTAGGACCTCGCTAAGTTGTTGAGGCTGGTCTTGAACTTGTGATCCTCTTGCCTCAGCCTCCCGAGTCACTGGGATTACAGGTGTGCACCACTGTGCCCAATTTAGAGTTGTTTTTTTTTGTTTTTTTTTTTTACTTTTTTTTTTATAAATCTGTAAGTTTCCAAATAACAAGCATTACTTTTGGAGGGCTGGGGTTGTGGCTCAGCAGTAGAACACTCGCCTAGGAAGTGTGAGGCCCTAGGTTCGATCCTCAGCACCACATAAAAATAAAAGTATTGTGTCCAACTCCAACTAAAAAATTAAAATATTTTTTAAAATTATTACTTTTGTCATTGGAAAACCCCAGATATCTGAAGGTGAGTTAATATTTAATTAATATTTAATCATCCAGCAATAAAAGTGAAGAAAGGAAATTCCATTTAAAATATTTTAAATGCTGAACCGAGAAGAGAACCGGAAACACAATAATACCACTTCACACATACTGGAATGATTGTGATTTTAAAAAGAACAGAATTACAGCAGAACACCTGGACGCTGCATAGCGGCTGGGGAGCCTGGGCGGGCGGGGGAGCTGCCGCCGAATAAATCTTGAGATTTATTCTTAGTGATTTTTTATTCTGCCCCAGCTGATGTTTGAGCTAGCACGTTGCGGAGGAAGCAGGCGAAGCCTCCACATTTCCAATTCGACCCGAAGTGGACTCGCCCTGCTGCGAGAAGGCACACCTCGGCGCACACAGGTGGAGCGTCACCCCTGTGCGTCAGGTCGCCGCTCTCTGTGCATGGCCCCTGAATGCCGCAGTCTGGCTGGGCACAATCAGGAGCCACTTGTCAAAAGAAACTAACTTTATTTTTAGAACCACACACCAAACAAAACAGCTCCTCAGGAAAAATCTTCAGAGCCTCAACTGCCACCACCGGCTTTTTTTCAAGCCTCTCTCTCCCCCACAAGCTTCTCCCCCCCTCCCACAATCCTCCTGCTCTTGAGGCCGATTGGCTGGGTCACGTGGGCAGAGCCAAAAAAGTCCCCCAATGAGCAGCTCCGTGGTCTGAAAGGGCAGGGAAACAGTCCAATGAGCATCACCGCAGAGGAGCCAATCAGCTAGATGTTGCTGGGGCCGAGGAGCCAATCAGCTAGATGTTGCTGGGGCCGCTGTGAGCCAATCATCAGCCGGCAGCTGGAAGTTTGCTGGGGCCCCTTCGGCTGTGGCTCTCAACACCTGACAGTTCTAGCAGGTAATCCTGTCAGCTCCCAGAAACTTTCCAGATCTGGCAGTGAGGTCAGGAAGCGGAGATCCTTCCGATTTCTAGAATCTGTATGCAGCGCTCTCTCCTACCACTGTTCTGAATGACAAAAGCTGTCATTCAGAAAGGTGGCATCAGGAGCCGCTCACTTATTAGGGGACTGAAGGGAGATCTGGAGAAGTTCCAGAACTCAGAGACCAGTGCTCCCCTGGCCTCCCTAGAGAAGATGGCAAGCAACAAGAACCGAACCAGCTTCTGCTTCACCGGCTTTGGGAAGGACAGCAAAGACGCTGTCACAAGTTAAAGCAGCTGTGTACTAGAGACATAGGGTTCCTTTTCAGAATGCGACCTATGGTGGCCTCCTACCCCTTGTTTTGTCTCCCTACCTTTTGGTCCCCGAGGATTATGAACTACAACATTATGAAGACGTACTTTGGGGCCTTGTTCAACTTCTAGAGTTCTAAGAAGTCTTATTTATTAGTGATATAACATTGCTTTGAGAACAGAATGCAAGCATTAACTTTGGTCCTTTGTATTTTGAACTAAATACTAATTGACAAGAGTGCTATAAACTTTCTGTAACATTTATAGCAATTGCAAGTTTCCCTGCTAGACCGTCTTAATCTGGCATTAACCTATTTTATGTATCTAGTTTACTATGAACCTGCCATGCCTGTGATGCATTAGGTCTTTTCAAAAGTCTGTATATAAATGTACATTTTGATCCTGCTGCAAAATTTTATCAGCAAACACATTGTCCAGTCTTTTAAAACAAATTTAAGGAAAGAACTGGAAGTACAGACTGAACAGTCTGGTTCTTCAAAAGGTTTGGGTTTTGTTTTGATTCATTTTTTATTCTAAAATTCAACCTCCTTTTTTTTGGTTTGTAGATTTAATCATTTCCATTTTGAACTGCTCTTTGTATTGTGCTTTTTACTTGAGTCTCTTCAGTGTTAATACAAGTTTCTGTAATGTAATAGCATGCAGAATTCTTTTTTTTTAAAGAGAGGGGGAGGAATTTTTAATATTTATTTTTTAGTTTTCGGCAGACACAACATCTTTGTTTGTATGTGGTGCTGAGGATCGAACCCGGGCTGCATGCATGCCAGGCAAGCGCGCTACTGCTTGAGCCACATCCCCAGCCCTCATGCAGAATTCTTTATGGAAAAAAAAATGGAGTGTTGTTTTGGTAGTTGAAACTGAGACATAACATTTTGCCTTGTAGGTATATTCACCATAGAAAATATGTGCTGAAATTTCACAGTGCTGCCAAGTATGGCATCTGAACAACCTTCAGTGGAGAAAATGATGATGCTCTTTATATACAATAAGAAATATCACTTTCATTAGAAGAGCAAATGCCGATTCTTGATCAAGAGAGCAGGTATAGTGTTTGTTTATTTTGTATCAGGTATGGAAAAAAAATTGGACCACTACATGCACTTTGCTGGAAAGTTGAAAAGAAAGAGGGACCAATTTTCTTTAACATTTAATACTTACTAACAGCAGAGACACTGTAATTTTACTCAAATAATCAAATACATTTTTTTGCAACAGAAAAAAAGAAAACAATGTTTATAATGGGGTCTGTTTTATTTCACAGCCTGTAGATTATGTATGTTGCATCATATGTATGTTACATACATGGCAGGTATGTAAAATGGTCCAGAGGTTTGGAAAACACTTTGGCAGAACAAGCAGTTTCATCTGTCAATATCAATATAAATTCAAGAGAAATGAACACATGTGTCCACACAAAAATGTAAACAAATACCAGCATAATTTATATCATAGCTGAAGAGTGGGAATGACCCAAATGTGGTACATACATATAGCGGATTTTAATTTGTCAATAAAGAGGAATAAAGCACTGATACATGTTACAAAAGGATGGATGTTGAAAATGCTATCCTAAGTGAAAGAAACAGTGACAAATTATATCAATCATGGGGAACAGCACAGTGCTCGTGAGCTGTGTGGGCACGTGGATTCCATAGGTGGAATAAACTCCACGCGGAAAGTAGAGGGTGTGCTTGCAGGCTGGGGTCCTAATGATGGAGAACCTGTGGGTCCAGTCTAGACTGTAAGGGTGAAGATAGAGGAGTTGAGATAAGAGGAGTTTGAAGTTTGATCTTCATTTGAGTTTTTCTTCTTTTAAAACTATTTATTTAAACAAATTTTTAAAAAGAAAAAATATTTATTTATTTTAAGACAAGGTCAAATTGTTAGCAGCCAGGCCTCGAACTCCTGGGCTCAAGTGATCCTCCTGCCTTAGTTTTCCAAAAGCTGGTTCTACAAGTGTGAGCCACCATTTTTCTTATTAATCCTTTTTCTTTACATCTCTCTAAATGGGGGGGTGAGTTGGGGGACATATGTAACCAGAACATCTACTATTACATAAGCTCACAGATTTTCTGATAGAAACCAGTCAGAATAATTTAGCACTTGGAATATGTATTAAGTGTTTTTCTACTGTAACAGCATCATCTCTTTTATGGTAAGCAGTAGGGGAATGGGACCCCACTGTGATCATCTGAGTATCAGATGCAATTATGATCTAATTAATTTATTAGGTCCACTCAATACTCTTTTAAGAATCATACATAGTTCATTAACCCAGGTACACATGTACTTTTGTAACAATCCAGTCTGCTTGGTTTTCTATGTTCTCAAGACAGGGGAAGACTGAAAGAGGGACATATCCTTGCCATGAGGAGGAAAAGGAGAGAAGAATATTAGAGTGCAAATTCATCCAAGGACTTAACATACAATGGCCATGTACTTTCTTCTCTGATACCCTCTGTACATCATTGGTACTTTGATATCTTCATCCTTGATTTGCCAGTATTTGCATTCCTAGTTTAGTTCTGCTGTGATTTGGCAAGCAACTTGGACAAGAGGACTATTTTTTAAAATTCATTACATTCCCTGCAGTAACTGGCACCCAGTGGGTATATCATTAGTGACTATTGAGTGCATGAGTGCAAACACAGGCAAAGAGCTGGAATTGAAATGCAGTGTTGGGCAGTCAGTGGGGCCCCTGGCCACTCACTGGGCAGATAGTCAGAGGACCCATATTCTTCCCTCCATCATGTTTCCCAGGGCAGAAGATAGGTTGAAGGGGTCCAGAGGAAGAGAAACCAGTAAATATGTAGATGTGCGATCTAGCTGTTACATTATAAAAAGAAATATCTCCCTTCTTCCAGTCCAGGAAGATGCCCACACGTCTGGGGGGCTTTCTCAGTTGCAGACGGGTTGGAGGACAGGTAGAGGCCAGGTACTCATTTTGCTTCATCATCACTACCCAGTAGCCATTCTCTGGTGACAGAGTCATGCTTCCCTTCCTGCACACGGATGCCTCGCACACTCCCAGGATCCATGCTGTCTTATCTCCAACCTCCACCTCCCAGTAATGGCAGCCAGAGAAGAAACTGGGAGAACCCAGGGTGATGCAGTTATCGAATCTTTCTGGGCTGTCAGATTGCCGCTCATCTTTGTTTCCAAGTCTCACACTTTTCATGTCATCAGAGAAGACAAGGTTGGGGTGGGCAGTTGCTGGATCCAGGATTACACTAGCTGTGGAGAGAATACTAAGCTGGAGGTGTGTAGGCAACATCCCCTCAGGTTCTCCACAACTTCAGGAAACAGGGACAGGGCTGCTTTTCTAGATTGTCGTGGAGGACAGACAGGGACTCAGCAGGCCAAGGCCACTGGCTTTGACTTTGGACACTTACCAGCATGTGCCTGAGCAGCCATCAGTTCTGTAACTACAGAGGAGAAAGAGGAGAAAGCGTTCTGAGTCTCCCCATTCAGGGGGCCTGAATTACACTGTTTCCACAGGAAAGACAAGTATCCCCTTGCTCCAAGCTCTGAATCCTATTCTTGGGTATAACCCGAGGCCTCCCAGACACCCATACCCACCTGGGAGACTGGTCTGGTGGGCTAATTTGACTATGAGGCAGGTACAAAGGACTGTGCAGAGCTGTGAGACCTACCACAACTTTTCTCCCACCTTTGTTTCAGGTGTTTTTCTCTCTTCTAAACAATGCCCCTAAGCCCATAAGGAACTATCACAATAATCCCTGGTCAGCACACACTTCCACCACCACACTCACCATCGAACATTTCCATTTCTGATCGCAGTGTTTCTAAAAAGGGGGAATGGGAGTAGAGAAAGGTTTCAGTTAGGTCTGCTGTCTAGGAACAGATGAGGAGAAATTGAAGGCAGAGTCAGAAAGGCCTTGGGAAATGGAGAAGAGAGGATCCTGGGAAGGAAGTGGAGCCCCTTTCATCTTCCTCCAAGCCCACCTACCTATGAAGTACCGTGTGCTCCTCTCCATAAACTCTGCTTTCTGATAGAGCAGTTGTATCTTTTCTTTCACTTCTGGAGGAGCAGCCCATGGCTCAGGGACAGTCATCATCTTGGCCCTAGAGACAAGAGATTGTTGGGCAGAGAGGACTGAAGCAAGGGGGTGGCCTTGGTCCCCATGAGCTGGAAGTGAGGTGCAATCTTCATGGGGCACACCCAGCCCAATCTGTGCTATGCAGAATCCTCCTTGGACTTAGATTTCTGATATTGGTCCTCAATTTTGGCTGCAAATTGACATCTACTGGAAAGTTTAAGAACCACTGATATCAAAATCACAAGTGTAAATAGAGGCCTTAAAGTGGTATTGATATTACCAGAATTCAGACTGCTAAGTCAAATTAATTATATTTCTATATGTTTTGTATTGAAATAGAAATAATAGATAAAAACCCAACTATAATGTAATACCATCTCATAGCTATTAGGATGGCTGTTATAGAAACATCAACAATTGCAAATAACAAGTATTGGCGAGGATGTGGAGAAATTTTAAATAGAATGACCACCAACTGACAAGTGGGGAAACAGGGTGTGATACCCGAATATAATGCTGTATTATTCTGGCATTAAAAGGGATAAAATTCTGACAAATGCCACAATATGGATTGACCTGGAAGGCCCTATGTCAAGGGGGAGAAGCCAAACACCAAAGGTCAAATACCATATGATCCCATTCACATGAGATTTCTAGAGTAGTCAAATTCATAAAGACAGAAAGCAGAATGGTAGTTGTCCAGGGCTTAAGGAGGAGAGTGAGGAGTTAGTGTTTAATGGCATGGCATTTCTGTGTGGGGAGGTGAAAAAATTGTGGAGATAGATGGTGTGCTGTGTGTGCAAATGCAAATGCACTTAATGCCACTGAACTGTACACTTAGAAGCGGTTAAGATGGTAAATTTTATGTACCACAAAAGATTTTTTAAAACCCTTCTAATGCCTTGGTCCCACTCTCAGACACCTGGATCTATGTGGTGTGGCTGTGGATACCAGGATCTCATAAAGCTCCCAGGCTGGCTCCAAAATTCAGGCTCCTCCTTGTTCCTCTCCCCTTCCCTGCCTGATGGGCTTTGCCCACCTCTAAAGTGGCTCCTCAGAGACTCTTGGAAAGTGCTTCCCTCCTTGAGGTCATAGGTGGCTCTGCAGGGGCAGTTTATGTAAGGTGGATTTCATGGGACACAGTTCATCCGGGAGTTTTCTCAGGAAGCCACCATCTTGGTTCATCAGGACTAGGCTCAATTAATCTCCTCAGTCTTCCATTCCATTCCTTCCCTCCTGTCCAGGCTCTGGTAGCCCCTGTGCAAATCCAGGAAGGCCCCAGGAATCTGCAGGCTTCCCAGGTCCCACCTAGAGTTGTCTTGCCCGAATGCTTCCTGCAAGATACCCCAGGGGACTCCACAGAACCTGTCTGTACCTGTGCAAGGTGACTCCGATGTCCTAGGAGAGAAAAGAGGGAAGCTCTCCATTACCAGTCTCCTAGAGGCTGTGCTGACTCCTAGCCTCTGTTTCTGGACTCCTAGATTTTAAGCTGCTCCCTATCCTTACCAGACTCTCAGCTCCGGAGTATCAGTAAGCTGGAATATTTCTCCTCAGTCATAATTCTAATCACTTGGTGGCAGCCCCACTGCAATGCAGTGGAATTGCACTTAAGCTTTTCTCATCTCTTCTGGGCAATGCCAGGGTTACTCTGGGCTCCTTAGAGACCTTGACAGAGGGGAGCCCGTGGCATCATGGGTCACCAAGACCATGTCCCACCCAGGCCTCAAGGGCCTTACTCCCTGGCTTGGGCAGAGCAGATGGGAGTGATGGGAGCCTGCATTCCTATTGGACACTGGACAGGGGAAGGCCAGGCCCAGATGCACTCACTTGCATGATCTCCCATTCTGACTGGCTTTGCTTGGCTTCCAACTCCCCAATCAGCTCATCGAGGCGGGAGATGTGCTGGGACACCCGAGTGCCAAAGGTCTCTCTGACCTGGCCAATGGTCTGGCCCAGCTCCTCCGTCCAGGTCACAAATAGCTGCTCCTGCTGCTCCAGAAACTGGCACAGCTGCTTCATTTGGCACCGGATCCTCTGCTTCTGGGTTTCAGTTTGTTTCTGGGGAACAGAGAAGAGGGAGGTATAGAGATCTATATTATGGGTGAACATGTGTATTCAGAGAGTCCCTAGAAGCCCACCTTGGGGACCAGAGCAGGAATATTATCTGGAACCTTCCAGAACCTTCTAGAACAAGGGCTAGCTCTTGTAAAGTGCTCTTATATCGAACATTATAGGTTCAATTGTTTCCCCTCTAAATTTATATATAAATTTATCCTAACCCTAAAGTACTAAAGAATGATTTTATTTGTAGGTAGGGTCCTTGCAGATGTACTTAATTAAAATGTAATCATATGGACTAGGGTGGGCCCCTAATCCAGTATGATTATGTCCTTATAAAATGGGAACACTCAGACACAGACACACACATAGATAGAACACCAGGTGGGAAGATGGCCATCTACAAGCTGAGGAGGGAGGGAACCAATGTTCCCAACCAACCTTGATTCCAGACTTCTGACCTCTACAACTGCATGAGGCAATAAATACCTGTGTATAGTGGCCATGGGAAACTAGGACACCACTGCCTTGAAAGCCAGCACAAAAATGGCACAGGCTGTGGGGTCATAAATGGTCAAGGCACTGACCCCCATACCATGTTCCAGGGTAGGGGCCTCTCCCCTCCTCCAAAGTGCTGGAGCATAGGCAGTCTCAACAGTGGTTCTGAATGTGGGTATCCATCTGTTTGGATGTAGGTGAATTTGGCTTCCATGACTGTTGCACAGGGTCCGTGGAGACAGCCCCTCTTTGTCGAGGTAGTTTACCTCTCTAGGGACAAACTTTCCCTTGAATACCATTACCTTCCTGCCCCCGAGGAGTGCCCATCCTTTTACATTTTTTTTTTGAGAATTTTAATATATATATATTTTTTTTAGTTCTCGGCGGACACAACATCTTTCTTTGTATATGGTGCTGAGGATCGAACCTGGGCCGCACGCATGCCAGGCGAGCGCGCTACTGCTTGAGCCACATCCCCAGCCCCCATCCTTTTACATTTATTTTTATGTGTTTTTTAGTTGTAGATGGACACAATACCTTTATTTTATTTACTTATTTTTTTTAAAGTATTTTTTTTTTCAGTTGTAGGTGGACACAATACCTTTATTTTATTTATTTATATGTGGTGCTGAGGATCAAACTCAGGGCCTCTCACGTACTAGGCGAGCACTCTACCGCTGAGCCACAACTGCAGCCCAGGACTGCCCACTTTTGCTGCCCTGTGAACCAGAACAGAATCTTGGGGACCCCTGCTCACTCCTTGTCCCCTACCTCCTTCTGCAGACATGAAGAGGCAAGGGCTGACCATAGGATGCACCTGGCTTACCAGGAGGCTCTCTGTCTTCTTATCCCCCTGGGATCTCTGCTCCTCTCCAGATTTCCTCAGCTCCTTCAGATGCTCCAGCTGCTTCTGAATTTTCTCCTGGAGAAAGAGTACTTCTTGAGATACTTACACTTGGCTCCTGTCATCCTTAGCTGGTGCCAACTCTAGCAGGGTGCCAACTTTGCTTCCAGGGGCAAAGCTAAGGGTGCTGCAATCAAGAACACGAAGAAGGGTGCTCAGGAAAGTGGAAGACTGAACCTGTTGCCAAGGAAAACAGAGCCAAGAGGTGGTGACAGAGAGTCCCAGTGACTCCCTGAGAAAGCCCCTGGATCCAGTCACACCTGAATCCCAAAAGATCCCCTTGGACTTCCCAGCAACATAAACAGGCCGATTCCTTCTTTGCTGTCCTGATTTGTATAGTTTTCGCCGCACACAGCCCAAGAGTACTGGCTTATGCACCCATATCCCTGAGTGGTTAGGAAAATGAAGCAAGGCCCAAGATGTCCAAGTTCCAGGTACAAAGCACCTACCCTGTATTCCAAGGCAGCCTCCTCAATGGGGCGTACCCGGTGACCTTGGTGCTCCTGACTCAGCCTGCAGATGAGGCAGATGGGCTCCCTGTGATCCTCACAGAAGAGCAGCTGCACCTGCTTCATGTGGCGCTGGCACTGTGGCAGGGGCTCAGGGCTCAGGCCTCCAGAGCTGTTCTTGTTGAGTGAGGCCTGGCACTGCTGGCAGCTAGGCAAGTGACTTCTAGGGGTCTTAGGCTCCCCTGAAGCAACTGGGCAGCTGCAGGAATCCAGCACACAGGTACCAGCAAGCAGATCTCCTTTTGGTGTGTGGCAAAGGGGAAATGCAGCCTTGTCCTGTGGCCTCCCTGGGGACATGGCAATGGAAAAATCTCCTGAGTGGTCAATCCAAGTTTATGAGAGAGTGAACCTGTGCCGAGGACACCTGAGTTCTCAGATCTGTCCACTTCCTTGCACATCTTTCCCTGCCTTCCATTCAGTGAGGCAACCAACAGACCCCTGGAACTGAGAACAAGGGCTAGGCCTTAGGTTCTTTCTGGTTCTTGGGATTCTTGGGCATTCATTCTAAGAAAGCCCCACATCCCTTTGCTACAGATTTTTCTGCACAGATATGGGTCTAGTGGGTGAAACAAGAGAGAGCAAGAAATCCTGGACAGTATTTGCTTTGCTACTTGAAACCTCTCCAGCTGCCTGTAACTTGTGGGGGATGTGGTGCCTTTCTTGTGGACAGACTCCACATCTGCTGCAGAGTGCCTGGAGGCTGGAATGTGTTGTGTGAAGGAGCAAACAGATCACTGCTCACACTCAAGTTCAAGAAGTACTAAATGAAAGCAAAGAAGGGGACTTTTTAAGGCTTTGGGGCATATATTTCACCATGAAGAATAAGTTATGAGTAGCTCTGAGACAGTAGCAGTAACTCCATAAAAGCAGAAATGACAGGAGACACAAGAAGAAATAGGAACATATGCAATACATAAGTCTGTCTCTCCCCCCACTCACTGTCCCAGGAATTCACATCACATCTGTAAACAAGACTTCTAGTGACCCTCAGGAAACACATCCCCTCCTCCCTTGTGATAGAATTGATGACTTCCTCCAACCCTAATAACCCCAGATTCTTAGCCTCCCTTGCAGTCAGGAGTGATGATCTGAACATATTCTAGCCAAAGGGATGAAAAGGAGGTGTCCTGAGCAACCTCTAGAAATTTCTAGAAACCTTCCCTAAGTGATGCTATTCCCCTGGGCCCTTCCATCCTGCTGCTTAGAATGAGGATGTCACCATCTGAAACCATGAATTTCAGAGCAAAGCTGGTAAAGTTTGGGGGTCTGGCCCATGTATCTGTCACAGACAAATGTATGTTACTGTGTGTCATTTGTGCGAAACAAGAACAAAGTTTGTGTTGCTTAAGCTACCATGATTTGGGGTTTTCTGTTACTCATGAATAAACATAATCCTGATGACTAACTCCTCAGAAAGAGAGACCTGTGGTTTTGGTCAACTGCTCTCCTTCTTGCCCAGTGAAAGAGAAATGGTAGAATCAAGTCACATCACAAACAGCCCTGGGTATTTGTGGGAAGGGAATATTTTTATCCAATTTTCTCTGGATCCTCAATCTGGGGCCCATGAAGCCTGTACATGCTAAAGAAGAATTTGTGAGGGTCCAAGAACAAGTTGAAATTTGATGCAACATTTTGTGATGATGAGTGCATATACATGTGCATTTTCAGGGTTTATGAACTGCAAAGATACCCCAGAAGGTATCCATGAATCCTCTAGTGATATCACTGTAGGAGGAATAAAAAGAAATTCAGGAGGAATACCTTTATAGGCCACCATTCCTAAGGATGTCAGATCTTCCCAGGGATCCCTTTTTACCTGAAGACGAAGGTACTTCTGGATTTGAGGACTCATGGAACACACGGTCTTTCATCTTCTCCAGGGTCTCATGGGTTGCTGGTCCTCCAACTCCATGCTCCTCCCAAGGTGATATGGATTTCTCCTCTCCTGCCAATAATGCATTGCATAGTGTGTTCATGACTGTTTTCTCTTCTAGGACTCTGGAATGCTCTGGGTTTGTGGAGCCCTTCTCCAGAGCCATAGTAGCCTCTCCATCCAGAATGACTCTTCCGCTGGGGCTGGCTGCTGAGTCTGGTTTTGCGTTTTTCATTTTCTCAAGAGAAGTCAGAATAGTTTCTGCATTTGAGGATTCTCTGTCTTCTGAAGGAATGATAAATTCAAAACTTCTGGGTCGCGGCTTCACTGAATGTAGATATACTTCAGATTTCTTGGATTCTTTCCTTCCTGGAGCCCCGCTGGATAACCCCTGGAGTCTTCCTGCAGAGCTGGCATTCCTGCGGAGCTGGGCACTCTTCCTAATCTCCTTTTCCCCTGGCAGCTGGGCAAGGGCCAGGCTTCTTTTGGAGGGCAGCCCTGTGCTCCTGGCCAGAAGTTTTCCCTGCACGTCCAGGATCTCAGGGCCCTTCTGATCCCTCCGTTTGCTCTGAGACTTCTTCTGGGGCCCCCTCCCTGCCTCATGCTGGCTGGACGGCAGGCTGGCTGCCCCCCCACCATTTTGCTGCTGCCCATCACCTTCTGGGCCATCTGGTTCCTTCTGGCTCTTGAGCTTATTTTCTCCAGGAGAAGACACTGTGGATGTGTCGGTGCCACTGTCTTGTGCTGGATATTCTGAAAAGACAAACCAGATGCAAGAATGAAGTTGTCCCACCCTGAGGGCCGAGGGTTAGTGGGTGGAAGAGAGAGAGGGGATCCCATTCAGCATCACAGAAGGCAAAGTGTTGAACATGCTGGACAGCAGTAGTCCAGTACCACTAGTAAGAACACTCACACGATCTGCTGTGTTTTTCTCAATACTACTTTTCAAAATTTTTAAGCAGAAGAATTTATTTCAACTAAAATCTTACATAAAACTCCAAAACACAGAGAAATAAAAAACTATGGTTTATTGGTATAAGATTGTGTTACTATAGATTTACAATATTCACTTTATGAAATCAATTAATAAAAAAGAATTAAGGTATTTGGCACAAAAATTTGAAATCAGAACTTATAAAAGAGCCTGTATTTTTCTTTTGTTGCATAAATTAAAGAAAATCCTAATTCACACAGATAAGTATAAATGGTGATTTTAAAAAAAGTTTGCCTAGAAATTTCAGGATACTGTTAACTATTTATAAATGATGAGAAAGCCTTACTTATAAGGTCTACATAAGGAAATAAAGATAATATGTACTCAGCACCTTACTTTTGGCTTGAAGAAGATTTTATCAAAATTAAAGTTTCTTGGGGGCTGTGGGTAGAGCAAGTTCTTAGGAGCCATAAGGCCCGGGTTTGATCACCAGCACCACACACATGCACAAACACAAATTTAAGTTCTTTATAACAGTTTGCTGGTTGGCTTTCTTGAAATATTTAAGTTTCCAAAACTGGCTCATGAACAGGTAAGAAACCACAAAGATGCTAATACTCAGATTTTAGAACATGAGAAAGTAATTTAAAAATTCTACTCATTAAACTCTACCAGATCATATTATAGTTTAAGTTCTATTACTCTTTCAAAGATTAAAGAAATTTTATGTCATTTAAACTGTCTTCCTCATAGAAATACCTGGAAGGGATTTCTGATGTAGTCTTGAAGTTTAGAAATAGAGGAAAAATTCAAACACCAAAAAGTATTTCTTTAAACCAATCATGTATTAGGCCTTCTCCTATCACAAAAAGTCTTTAAATGTAGAAATCAAATAGGCCACATTATTAGATCATAATAAAATCAGAAAGTTACTACAAAAGAATAGCAGGAAGAAAGCAAGAGAGAAAAGGAAAAAAGGAAGAAGTAAAGAGAGATGGAGATGAATTCCTCTTGAGAATTTTTTTAAAACCCTGTGTTAAAAAAGGGAATTAGCTGGGTGCTGTGGTGCATACCTGTAATCCCAGCTTGGAAAACTGAGGCTGGAGGATTGTGAGTTCAAAGCCAGCCTCAGAAACTTAGTGAGGCCCTAAAAAACTCAGTGAGACCTTGTCTCCAAATAAAATTCAAAAAAGTGCTGGGGATGTGGTTCAGTGGTTAAGCAGCTCTGGGTCCAATCACTGGTATAAAAAAAAAATAGAAATTAGGAACTGAAATTAGGTGGATAGCAATGAGACTATTATGCACGAACCTTGTTGGCATGATTGGTTTGCATACCCTTCCTGCTATCCCAAAGATACCTGTCTGCAAATGAGTGCTAACTGCAAATGGATTGAAGAGTTCTCCAAGAACAGGTACTCCAATGCTCTTTCTCCTGATTCTGACCTAGTCAGAATCTCAATCTTTTTTTAGAGCCATTAATAATCTGAGGGCACTTTACCAACCCAGCTACAGAGGCCAGAGAGGGACAGGATGTGATTGACCCAAGTCGCCTAGGCTGCGGTAGATCAGGGTCTAGTCTCAGGCCAGAGAACTTTGGTCTGAAGGCAGCTTCCCTGCTCCTGCCAGCAGCCAGCAATCAACACTGAGCCAGGATGGGGCCTGGACCACTTACCCTGGCCAGTGGCCTTGTGCAGCTCTTCTGCCAGGAGGCGCTGGTTGATGGCACGCAGAACCTTCAGGGTCAGTTGTACAGCGTGTTTCTCCCCGTAATGGATGATCAATAGGTTGGCCAGCTTCACTGGCCTGGCCATCTGAAGATGGCCCCGGGGGATCCGGGAGTGCTCCTTCTCCAAGTTGGTATTCTGCAGCTTGAACTTGAACTTCTCAAAGTCATAGGGCACCAGTTCCTCCAGGGTGTTCAGCAGATGGTCACTAAGGGTCTTGTCCATGGCGCTGATCAGAAGAGACTGGAGCCAGCTGTCTGGTTTTTGGTAGTAGAAGCAGCCCCCTGATCTGGAACCTGAGGATGAGGAAGTAGCAGCTTGTGAAATAACCGAAAGGCTCAGGAAATGCTTGGTGTTTTCGAGGGAACTGAGATTCAGGATGAGGGCGTGGCCAGTGTCTAAGCTGTGGCGTCCTCGCAGACTCAAAGACTTGTCCAGTGCAGAAGGTTCCATCTTGCCACCCATTTGGTGCCCAGACTCTCAGCTTCACTCCATGATAGATGGCAGAGAGGTGGACAAGTCTATCAGGGAGCCTCTGGGGTTGGAGTCCAGACTCTGCATCTGTTTTCTCTTGCTCCAGGACCTCAGGATGGAGGAGAGGTGGGGACGAAGAGCCAGGCTGAGGGTCAGCATCTCTGGCCAACGGCTCCTGTCCTGACTCATGGAGTTCATGGACCCTTTGGGGCCAATGGAGAGGGAGGGAGAGGTAGCAGGTATAGCACTGCAAGCTTTTCCCTGGGTGCTCAAGAAAGCTGGTGAGGCTGGAAATAAATATTGAGGTTACCAATAAATATTGTAAACACTATCACCCCAAATACCCTACATACCATAAATACTAAGAATGCAATATTATTCTAAGTAATTTCAGTATGATCATCACATCCAAGAAAGCTAACTTTGTTTTACAAGAATCAGTCCATGATTCAAATTTCCCCAGTTGTCTTGATGATGTCCTTTGTAGCATTTTCCCCCAACTCGGGGTCCAGAGATCATGCACTTTGTTCAGTTGTCTGGTTTTTCTATTTTCCTTTTACCTGCAACATTTCCCCACTTCCTCAGTCTTTTTTCTCTTTTAAGACATTGATTTTTAAAAAGTCTGTTTTTACCACCAGAAGAATGAGAAATTATACTCCATTTATATATGATGTGTCAAAGTGCATTCTACTGTCATGTATAACTAATTAGAACAAAATTTTAAAACTTTAAAAAAGTCCATTTCAAGCAAAACATCCATAAGTTTAGATCTGTTTGCTTTTCTCTTCATAAGTCTGTTAAGGGTAATATCCAAGCACCTTCAAGATCTCTCCCATGTACGAGGATATTTTTTCCTTATGATTAATAAGTGACCTGAGTGTGTGTCTTCTCTTACATTCTTTCACCCAATAGCTTTTGTAGTCATTGAATGTCCCTTCCTAAATCAACTTTCATAATGGTATTTGCATACAATGACTATGACTGAATTAGCATTATTTGCATATTTTAGTTTAAACTTTCTGTCCACCCCATGAAATTTTTGGATTGAAAATATTTGTGGCAACAGGGGATGTAGCTCAGAGGTAGGGTTCGTAGCTAGCATTCCTAAGACCTTGGGTTCAATTCCCAACACTGAAAAAAAAAAGGATGTTTTGTGGACAATTTAATCTTTCAATAGCATTTATTCTGTGCCAAGCACAGCTTCTTCATAAACACTATCTGCTAAGATCTCTGTGGACCCTGCAGGGTTGGGTTCATCTTCCCACTTGCCACCAGGTATCTGTTTCAGAACTTGCTCAGAAGTAGAGTGCAAACTCACTCTGTTAAACCACCTCTCAGCATTGTCTCCCTGAACAGTAGTAGCTTAGTATTTTACTATTTGACACTTCTCATAGATGTCACTTTTTCAACTGACCACTGAAGCTCAGAATGAGCCATCCCACAGGTCAGTTTCAATATCTGACACCTTCCCAGTGTGTGAGCACCTCTGGGTGTAACTCTCCTGGCATCAGGCTCTGATGGGTGTTGGCTGGCAGAATTTGACTTTTTGCCCAATGGTCGTCCATGTGCTTCACACTTCACAGAGTGCTCAGTGCTTCATGTTAGCCCTTGGGTTTGTCACACCTAGTCCAGTGGATCCTAATGAGAAGGAAACCTCCAAACACAACATTCTTCCTAAAAATATGGATGAATTCCAATGAAAATGTAGGGTGCCGATAGCAGAAGTTCAAAATCCTCAGGTTAGTCCAGAGGGTGTTGACTGTCTTGCTGCGAACAGTGCCCTGAACCAGAATTTGGAAGGCTGCCACCCAGCATCTCCCAGGTATCCTCCTACTGCTAGACAGAAATGATGAGGTTGTGCAGTGACATGCAGGGTGTGGTAGGTTCCTGGGATTCCTGACCCTATCCTGATGGGTCAGGAACTCCTCTGAACTGAGCAGGGTAAGGAATGGGGGTTTCCAGCCAAAAACAGGATATTTTGCAATTGCAACACCACTTTTTGCAACAGGGGCAATTTTGAGGCAGACTTCTGAAAGGCAACATTTTGATGACATTTGGGCCTTTCTAGATGAAGAAAGGCTCACAAAAGTTGTTTTTGAAGATAGAATTATAGCCCTTGTAATGTATTTTATTTGATTTAGCAGTAAAAATTGAGTGATAACAGGGTCTTTTCTTGCTCTTTTTCACCAGATGTGTGACTCTGTTTGGAGTTAACATGATAAATCTAAATTCAACACGCCTGTTCAAAAGATCTGCCTTCTGCTCATATTCTAAGCAATGCACTGCTCAGACAATCTGAACTTGTCACTTTCTATGGCATTCATTTCTATATCATTTTAATTATTTTTGTGGTGTTGGGTTCAAACCCAGGACCTACACCTGCTAGGCAAGCATTCTACTACTGAACAATATCCCTAGCCCCATTTTAGGATTTTTTTTCAAATGAATATTATATTACTTTTACTATAAGAAAAATATAGTTGTTAAAAGTCATTTATAATTAGCTTAGCCTCTAAGGGAATATCTGTCCTATCCCCCAAAGCATCATGATAAAGGAGGTTTATGGTATTTAAATAAAACAACTGTTATTGAGAGAATGGAAAAAAACAGTTGAGGTCATAGAATATTTCTTGTATTGATCTGGAGCTGAGAATAATGAGTCCCACTATGGTTCAAATTCCCCCTCTCATGATATATTTAATTTGGGGATTCTGAGAGGGCAACCATTAAAGTGTAAGGTAATTTCTAGGCCTTGCTTAGAGTTACTCAACAGCTTCTCAAGGGTGAGAAAGCTGGTAAATGTTCTGAGGTCATTCACAATTTATGTACTAGCTGGCTCCTTATCCCAACTCAGTTCTTCACTTTAGCATTGAGGTTGTGTTTTGCACAGTGCTTGATAAATAAAAAAATCCAGAACCTAAAAGGTTAATGAGTTTTTTTAATATTTATTTTTTAGTTTTTTTTTAGGTGAACACAATATCTTTATTTTTTATTTTTATGTGGTGCTGAGAATTGGACCCAGTGCCTCACGCATAAGCGCACTACCACTTGAGCCACATCCCCAGCCCCAGTTAATGAGTTTTTAAAAGACTAAATTTCTAAATGTTTCTGTGCCAAAAGGGATTAGTCAAAGGTCAAAATATGCCTATCCTGTACAAGGTCCTGGGTTCAATCCCCAGGGAAGAAAGAAAAAAGAAAGACAAACAAAACACAAATTGATACTCTCAAACAGCCAATTCAAAATGGCCAAAACAAAATGGTGGTCTTTAAATATCCAGACCAGGTGATAGGGCATAGGCAAGGGTCCAGAGTTAGGTGGGTATATAGGCCATTCACTGCAGCTGAACCTGACACAGGCTGTCAAAACACAACTACAACTCTCATAGTGTCTTTGATGTAGTAAACAGTAGGCCTTGCATTTTACACAATGCTTTCTTCTAATTTCCACTGAACTCTATAAAGAAGATACTTTTAAATTTTTTTTAATAGATGAGGAAAGCTTGGCTTAGAGGTGGTGTGACCAACATATTTGTATGGGACCAAAACATAGTCTGCCCCATTTTAGCACTGGAGGGCCCTCATTGTAGGAACTCCTCCCAACCTGAGAAAACTAGAACAGGCAGCCATCTCTGGAGAGGTTAACTAACATGCTTAAAACTTAGCCAGAAGGGACAGTCACCGCCATTCACTTCACTCATATTTATTGAGCACCTGCCATATGCCAGGTACCATTCTAGATACTCTGGGCACAGAAGTGAATAAAACCAAGCCCCTTTCAGAGCTCACATTCTTACAGGAAAGTGTGAACAGACAATAAACAAACATGCTACACATTAGGTAGTTATAAGGAAGTTGAAAAACTATACAAAAGAAACAGTCACGAGCCAAAAGGCTGGGATAATGAAATAAGCCCCTGTGCACAGTAAGCTGTGACCCTTTTGTAGCAGAGCATGTTGCTGCTCTATTCTTGTGCAAGTTTCCACAAACCCCACCATGAGATCCTGATAAACCCACAGAAGCAGAACTTTTACACAAGATGGAACTGTTACCAGGGGAAAGTCTAAATAAACCCTCCAGCTTCTTAATCAATTTTTAAAAAATCACCAACTTTGGAGGTCCCAGAGTTAGGCATTTATCATATTCACAGCCCAGTTGTGCTATGGCAGTGGGGTAGGGAGCTGGAAGGCCAGAGAAAGTGCCGAGAGATGGCATGTGAGACATATGACTTATTGGGGAAAAGCTTACAAGAGACTAGCGATTGCTCCAAGGAGAGTTCAGTGGTGACAGATGGAACACACAACACTCCTGTCCCTCCCTCTAGGTGCTTTGCCAAGCAGTGCCTTCTTTACTTCGTGGAGTTTTGTCCAGTGATGCCTGGCTTGATGAGTGACACATATCCTTTCCACAGTGCCCTCAGTTCTGCCCATGTCATCTCTGAGAGAGGAGTTTTATACATTAGGCTGCAGAAGCAGTGACATCATCAGCACTACCTTGCTTAGTTTACTTGTGTGACCAGCATCCTAAGGAGCAATTGTCCTGATGTACATGCAAGAAAGTAGCTTTCTGCAGATAAAGCTAACTTGCCTTAGGTCCCAGAGTGCATAAGGGAAAGCCAGTGTCCTTCAAGATAATATGTATCTAGATATTCCAATCCAGGCTTGCTCTCATTGTTCCCTTATTTTGACTGGATTATTGAGAACAGAAAGGAGACATTCAGGGATATGGTGTTTTACTGTCCCCCTTTTCTTTAAGGATGATATAGCCATATATTAGTTTCCTATCAGCTTGGTTGTGATTA